TCTCAAAGGTAAGGAGACTTCAATAAAGGTGACGACTGTGAATGGAACTTCTACTTGTGAATGTCTGGAAGTAAATTTAGAGGTATTTTCATTAGATGAGCGGGGTTCTATAAAGATCAACAAGGCCTATACGATCAAGAAACTTCCGGTCGATTCGGCAGAACCTCTAACCGAACTCCAGCTAAGAAAGTGGAAACATTTAAGGGACATAACTCTACCGAGGCTGCAAAGTAATCTAGTGGGAATATTGATTGGTTGTGATGCTCCAGATGCACATTGGGTCCTTGAACAACGCCTGGGAGACAGGAAGCATCCGTTTGGTGTGCGTACTCATCCCGGTTGGATGATTTTAGGTCCTAAAGAAGCATCGAGGTCTTTACATCAAGTTCAGTGGTGTCACTGTTCTACTAATGATATTTTGCGAGATCTAGAAAGATTATATAATCATGAGTTCGAGGATGCAGATGGGTTTCGTAATGAATATTCTGTCGAAGATAAAAGAGCTCTAGAAATAGTTAATAGTTCCTTTAGACTGGAAGGTGGCCATTTCCAAGTTGCTCTACCCTGGAAGTATGATAAGCCAAGGCTACCGAATAATTTACAACTAGCTGAACGAAGACTAGAGTGTTTAAGGAAGAGGTTTATGAAGGATAATAATCTTATGGAGAAATATCAACTTGTAATGAGTAAACATTTAAGTAAAGGCTACATCATTGAAGCTAGTAAGGAGGAATTCGGCCGTGACGCTGTTTGTTGGTATATTCCTCATCATCCTGTTATCAACCCTAAAAAGCCTGCAAAATTAAGAATTGTTTTTGATTGTGCAGCTGTCTATCAAGGTTGTTCTCTTAACGATCAGCTTTTGAGAGGACTAAATACTGTAAATAGTTTAATTGGTATACTTCTACGATTCAGATTATGCAACGTAGCATTAGCCGCTGACATCGAGGAGATGTTCCTTCAAGTAAAGATCCCGAAACGAGACAGGGGAGCGTTTCGACTATTATGGTGGGAAGACGGTGATATAGGACGAAAGGCTAAAGAATATTGTTTGACAATTCATCCGTTTGGAGCCGTGTCCTCTCCCTTTTGCGCTAATTTCGCTCTTCGGAAGACGGTAGATATATTCGGAAAGGAATTGAATAAAGATGTTCAGGAAGTTGTAGATAAGAGTTTCTATGTCGATGACTACTTAACATCAATTGATAGTGTGCAGGATGCAATCGAGCTTGCAAAAACCCTTGGTTTACTACTCAGAAAAGGTGGGTTTAGACTTACCAAGTGGATAAGTAACTGTTTACAGGTTGTCGAATCAATTCATCCAGAAGAGAGAGCAGAAACCGTAAAAGAGATTGACTTTGAGAGACTTCATACGGAACGCACATTGGGATTATTTTGGAATACTATGGTTGATGCGTTTGAATTTAAGGTTCGCATACCGAAATGCCCTCTCACTAGGAGAGGTATATTGTCGAGTGTAGCTTCATTATACGACCCCTTGGGATTGTTAGCACCATTCACACTTCCTATGAAGCAGTTACTTCAACGTTTGAGTAGATTGGGACTAGGATGGGACGAAGAGATTTCAAGTGAGGAAGGCAAACGCTGGTTAGAGATTTTAAGTGGATTTCAGAAGGTTGAGAACGTTAGTTTTCCACGCTGTGTATTATTCCCACAATCAGATAGCTCGCTCCTGGAACTTCATATTTTCTGTGACGCCTCGGAAATTGGATATGGGGCAGTGGCATACATCCGTTCTTACATCGATGACACTGAAATATGTTCTCGTCTTATTACGGCTAAGGCAAGAGTAACCCCTTTAAAGATTCAAACTATACCCCGTTTGGAACTTACCGCAGCAGTGTTGGCAGCGCGTATGGGGTCCCAGCTGCAGTCCGAGTTAGATATCAAGTTTGCAGAAGTTGTGTTTTGGACGGATTCCATGATTGTCTTACACTATATTAGAAATGAGAAAAGCCAGTTTAAAACATTCATAGCAAACCGGGTCTCAACTATCCACAGTCTTACAAAGGTGGACCAATGGAGATTTGTACCTTCTAAGGAAAACATAGCAGACTTTGCATCCAGAGGAGCCAAGTTCAACATTGATGATGTCAAGTTATGGGAGGAGGGACCACATTTTTTGAAGAAGTCAAAGGAGTATTGGCCTGATGCGGATATACAAGGTCCTGAACCCCATCTCTTAGAATTAAAGAAGGTAATGTCCACGCATGTAATAGTTGGAGAATCCACCGTTGATCTGCTTATTAATTATTATTCAGATTGGACTAGATTACTTAAGGCTGTTGCATGATTGATCCGATTTAAGCGATATTTATTAATAATGTATTCTGGCAGAAATGATCTGTCTCTACAGGTGGGTATGCTCAGAGTTGATCAGCTATATTTAGCATGTTTAGATTTAATTCGATATGTCCAAAGCATAGTATTTCGGAAAGAGATTGAAATTTTGTCGTCTGATACCATTAGCAGAGTGAAAATAACAAATTCACCCTTACGAACCTTAAATCCAATAATTATAGACGGTTTATTGTGTGTCGGTAACCGACTTCAAATTAGTTCCTGGTCTGAGTCGAGGAAGCATC